TGCGAATAATCGGTGCGAAAATCGAGTCGAGTATCGGAAACTGACGATAAATCACCGTCGTTGAAACTTTCCACGCACGGTTCGATCAAAAAATTATCCCTGGATGCAGCGGAAGTGCGATAAAATTGTCAGCGGACGCGACCAAAACCGCGAATAATTCGCCACACGGACTTATCGATCGCCGCTTTATCGCTTATCGTCCCAAAGAAATCGACTTGCTCGAAGAGGCTGCAAACGTCGACAATCCACGTCAAACCTTCACGATGATCTATTGCGTTTTGTATTCCGTGTCCAGAATATTCGAGCAGTGCGTAAAACCACGTGTTCCAAACAGATTTACAAGAGTAAAGCTAATTTAACTAGCAAACCAACGTTTGGTATACCTGGAAAGTTTGCACAAACATCGTCAAACCTTTACGCTGATCCATAAAACGTTCCAAACTTATCCACAAGAGTGAAGCAGATTTAATTAACAAATCAGCATTTGATGCACTAGAAAGTTTGCACAAACATCGTCAAACCTTTACGCTGATCCATAAAACCACGTGTTCTAAACGTATCAGCAAGAGTGAAGCAGATTTAATCAACAAATCAACATTTGATGCACCAGAAAGTTTGCACAAACATCGTCAAACTAGGCTCAACGATGTATATTTGGTAATACACTGTCAAATAGATGTGTATCGGTTTGTTTAGATGTATTTTCACCCTAACGGAGGATAGGACAAACTGAAAAATGCAATGTTCGAGTGGCCAAATCGACCGTATCGTGCAACTACGGGGCCCCGTCTCTTTTTCTTCGAGTTCTACCGGAGGGAGGCGAATAAAAGATCGATTTCTAGAAGCTTTCGACCGAGGGAAGTTTGAGTTACGCGGGTCCAGCTGTGTTTGTTGAATTGCTCGGTCGTGTCGGGCGGCGAGAGTCGCGCGTCGGACGTGTCAACGATCGTTTAAGCGGCGAACTGGTCCAGGTGGGCGCCCACAAAATTGTATGTGGGTCGACGTCGTCGAGTCGCGACAAAAGGTGACGCGGGAACACGCCCGCTCTAAACGCGTTCCTCTCGGAGCTCCGCGTTCCTGGTTACGCGCCGCTAATCCGTTCCTCTCGGCGCTATCTTTCGCGCCATGATCGATATTCTCGTGCAACAACCCCTTATTTCATAATTACGAGTTCTTTTCTCCGAGCATCGCATGTACGAGTAAACTCGAACAAAATGAATCATTGCAGTGAAAGGAAACATTAAGTCTTGGGTCCTAGATTTTGACGAAATTTTCAGAGTATACAGCGCACATATTGAGAAGGCAGATGTTCAAAGGATTCAGAATCATTTGCATTCGAAAATTGTTGCCCCGCGAGAGGGTACAAAACATGTGGTTTTGGCGGACCACAGTCATGGTAGCTTGGTGGCAACGTTTAATGGATTCTCTTCATAAATTACCACCACAGTTCTTAACAACCTGCTCCAAAGTCTACAGCGCAATTCAGACTCCGAGTTACATTTAAGGAGCACCCGTACAAACAGTTATTTATCTTTCCCTCGATGTTAAAAATTTTTATCCGGGACAAGAATCTCGCCAATCCCCGGAATGCTGCTCCGTGGTCCGCGCAGAATGTTTACAGACCGATTACGGAACGTTGCGGCTCATGTGCACGCACCGAAAACTACCGTTATGGCGGCGTTGAGCTCCGAATCTGTATTTCGAAATTTCTAACTTTATAAATTAGTTTTCTAAATTAACTTAATCGTTGATATTAATATTCTCAAAATGATACCAACGCGTGTATAAAATTTAAGGGTTCCCCGCGTGCTCTCGGTTTGAATTTGCCGCGAACTTTTCCGAGATCCGGTCGATTCTCGCGCGGCGGCCGAAATAAATCTGCGAGTCGATTGAACGATCAAACGTTCCAGAAGGCGAGACGATAAGGGTCGTTACGGTTTCCGGTTGTTTCGAGGCGTTCCCCGTAGGTCGGGCCTCCTCCATCTGGCACCGAGTTAATCGATCCCGAGCCGATTCCGACCGGTCGTAACTTCTGGCTCCGGTCGACGCGGCGTGTCGTGGCTCCCCGCTTAACTAAGTCATTGGCTATTTATTACGGTTGACACTCCGACGAAACCCTACACGCCGGCGTGAAATTTTTTTTCGTCGTCGGTGGCCTCGTAGAAACGGGCTACCGTACGTCCGGAACGCCACCAAAGGATCCTGATTTTAATCGGGAGAAATTCGCGGGAACGAGGACCACGCACGCGGCGCCCGAACCTCTCGACCCGCTTAACTGTAATGTATGAAAACTCGCTTGGATTCAACGCAGAAGATGGTCCAAATTGAAAGACTGACCGAACTTGGCTCGACTTGCACCGAACCTCTCCGACCCGCTTAACTGTAACGTATGAAAAACCGCTTGGATTTAACGCAGAAGATGGTCCAAATTGAAAGAGTGACCGAACTTGGCTCGACTAGCACCGAACCTCTCCGACCCGCTTAACTGTAACGTATGAAAAACTACTTGGATTTAACGCAGAAGATGATCCAAATTGAAAGACTGACCGAACTTGGCTCGACTTGCACCGAACCTCTCGACCCGCTTAACTGTAACGTTCGATGCTGAGCCGTCAACGACGAGTTGGATCTGGTTATTATGAAAAATTGTTTAAGTTTAACGACTCGTTCCTGGAATAAATTGCCGTCAGAATCCCTCGACAGAGAAGTTCCCCTGACTTCTAAGATAATTTCTCTCCGTGAGAACCATTAACTCGCTATTCCCGAGTCTCGAATGATTTGCTGAGGAAATGTGAAGGGAGAAGTATAGTCGATGCGTTTACGCAGAAGAAAAGAAACGGCGGAAGGAAACGATGTATGTGTTCTCTTATTAAGAATAACAAACGTAAAGCAGTGTTTGTTGCCGTAGTGGAGCTATTAAAAGATAAAAAATTCCCGTACTGCAAAGTCGAAATAGATTTTCAACAATTTGCCTTTGCCATTACAATTATCGTTCGATCCGTTCAAACACGTTTGGACACGTTTTCTCTGCCACTGTGCTCGGTTCATCGAATCGAAGAGTAATTTATACACAGGATAAAGTCATTTTTAGATACGCAGATAATGTCCCAGCCATCTGCTCGAAAACCGTCCCGCCCTGTTCGACGTGCTCCAAAATGTCCGCCCGCGAAGAAGTAGACTACAATATGGAGGTCCACGTACTGGAATTACAATTTTTAGACTCGATTGTCACCGACTGTATTTTTATAAACACGAGAACAGAGGCGTTCTTAGAGCAGTCGCCATTTTCAATTCGCCAACCCACAATTCTTTCGTTCGTTCGTATTTTTTATAATAGGATATAAAGGGATATAAATTAAAAGGGTTTGGAACTCTGTAAACGACGATTCTATAATTTTGACTGTTCAAAAAAACTGACTACAACCCCGAGGTTGAAAGAATAGAATATTTCCAGAAGACTGTTTAATTTCAGTGAACTTTTCGACGCCTTTGGCTTCAACTTTATCATCGATTTGTTTAACAATTTCGATCGCGGAGACTGTTGGGGTTTTCGCGTGTCGAGGTGGGGGCGTTGAGGGGTAGGGGTGTGCTCGAGAGGGTCGGAGGGGGAGGAGAAGCGCGTGTCCAACACACGTGCACGCACACGAGAGAGTCCCTGGTCGGTCGATTCATCGCGCCGTTTTACCCAAGTTTATTTGGGAACGACTGGTCCGTTTCCGTGGGTGAATTGCACCGCGGCCAACCGTAAATTTCGTCCGCGTAGAATCTTCGTGGGCGATTATTCGCCGCGGGCGTCCAAGATACGCGATGATGAAACCAAACACCGAGTCTCGTTCAGGACGGACGTCTGGCTGGGCCAAAGCAGCCAACGGTCGTTTCCAGAATTCCGATGAGACACCTCACCTGGGCCGCCGCCGCGTCCCCGCGACAACCGACCGTTTCTCGCGCCCCGAGGAATTAACGCCACGAGAGTCCTCGGGGGACGTTCGTTCGGAACGTTGCCCGCTAAATAATTCATTAACAACAGGATCCGAGTCCTATTCTTTTCCCTTCTTTTTTTCTCTTCCTCGCGATTAAAGCTACCCGGTACTTTGCCTTCGAATTGTTACCTCCGCGAGACGCTCGTTTATTTATTTACGCGCACGATTTTTGTCGCTGACGCAGGGTCTGCATCGAGGACAACGAAATATCGTCCCCGGACGAATATCTTTTTTGCTCGTTACACGAAGGGGAGGGCTTCGAAGAAACACGATCTCGTTTCACGGATCGGAAAAAACCACGTCCCGGTGACGGTTGTCTCCGATAACGAGCCTGGCCGATGGAACCTTTACGTCCGCGCGTCGCTTCCGTGTCTAACCTAGCCCGACTCTATCGCGTTTTCTAAAAGATTTATTGCCGGCTGAAGGGCTGAATAGATCCGTAAGTTATGCATCTTCATGGGCGGCCGCTACACGACGACGACTTCCAGTCATTGGCTGTCGAGCGATGTTGTTCAAGAGTGTTTGACGTAAAACTAACAAAGAGTGTGTTTCTGGGCCAGAGGGTGCACGATTACGGATTAACACGTGTTCGATACTCTAGACTCGCATGGAAATATCCGGTATGATTAGCACGTGTGCGAAAATGGCGTACCGAATCGTTCTAGAATTTGAGAAGAGGCTTTGGCCTATAAAACCCTTAAGCCAAGGTTTTTAAGCCATTAATTTCTTATATTATATCTGACAAGAGAATCATTGCCTTTGACCACAGGCAAATTCGCTCAACTAAGACCTATTTGCAGGCGACGGTCATAGCCTTAAATTGACCTCCCCAACGCTTGTCGAAAGTTCAATTATCCCAGTTAGCCAATTTGGAGGTTAGGTCGACTCTGTCTCGCGTTATGGTGGTGTAGCTACCTGTTCCCGGTACTGGTGGGCCGATAAAAAGGGTACCGCGACGCGCAGTCGCGATGGGGGTACATGGGCGAATCGTTGAAAATTGTATCGGATTTAAGCACTCACCGTGTTGATGCAGCTTCCCGCCGCCGACGGCCTGTTGCTGCAACTGTCGATGATGGTGCGGCTGCTGTAGCTGTTGTTGGGTCTGTTGTTGTTGGGACGCCGGCGCCTGGGACTGCTGCTGTTGCTGCTGCTGCTGCTGACGAGAGTCCCGTGCCATGATGGCCGCGATGCTGAAATCGGTGGCGCACTGGCGGTTCGAGTTGCAATTGTTGTTTAGATTGTTCAAGAGGCTGCTGTTCGGCGAGGGGCTGGAGCTCTCCTCGGCGTCGTCGCGCGTGCAACCGGACGACAAACCGGTGGAAACCGCGGTGGCGGCGGTGCCCTCGGCCTGCATTTTTCTTCCAAGAAACAGATGTCGAGATTCCTCGTCGTCCTCCTCGCTGCCGGCTCCTCCGCCGCCGCCTCCTCCGCCGCCGCCGCCTCCAGCTCCTCCGCCGCCGCCGCCACCCCCGAACGAAGACAGCGTCAATCCGTTTCTCTTCCTACCGGCAAGGCCTCGCGACTCCAGCAACATCACCTCGCCCTCTGCCTCCCTAAGCTCGCGCGTCTATTATCGGGCCGTATTATCGAGAGGCGCGCGTGAATCGCGGGAGCCGGTTCGTTTCAGGAACAGTCGGTCTGCCGGTCCACCACGGAGGGATCCTCGACATCACGGACGATCCGGCCGACGACCAAGTCGTGATCTCTCAGGGCGACGAACGACGACGCGGCACGTCGACGCGCATCGCGACGACACCACGACGATCGCGCACGATTATTATTCCTGACCACTTTGCCCCGCGGTACGTCTCGTCGACGACAAAGAACCCGACGACACTGTCGCGACGGAACGGCAAACGGCGCGCCGTCGGCGAGCGGCGTGTTCGATTCCCGGTCGCGATTATCGCCGCGTATCGGTTCCCGCGAGCGTGTACAGAGCGCCCGTGTCGAGCGGAGAGCGCGGACAGAGCGAGAAACGAGAGAGCGACCGGTTGCCCGACAGACTGACCCGCGCCACCGGCGGTCGGCTCCTCGTTTCGGCCCCCACCCCCGGCGCTACGCGGCTCACGAGCTCGATCGTCCGCGTCGCGGGTACGCGGGACGCGGGAGAGAGCGCGCGCCGCTCGACACGGGCCCGAGGACGGCCCGAGGAAGGAGAAACGTGGGCGGGTCCACGCGGAGCCAAGCTCCGCCCCAACGATCAGCACCCGGGCTCCGCCCGCAGCCTCTCTCCTCCTAGGAATTCGCCCGTGAGCAACGCCGCCGACCACCTTATTACCGCTCGTTGTCCTTCTCCCGCTGCCACGGTCCCGTCTCGTCCCGTCTCGATCGCCAACCGGCAGCCAGCTGTCTTCGTACGCGCGCGTACCGGCTATCCCCGACCAGTATACTTTCTCGCGTACGATCACGCCGCGCGCGGCGTCCCGTCGTTCGATTTGCTTTCGTTACCCGTTCTCTTTTCTCGCTTTCCTCGGCTCTCGAAACGTTACCGATTCCGCTACCAGGGACGTCGGCGCTAATGGTGGCGACCGTCGCCGATGGTAGTAGTAACCAGGCCGATGGTGGTGGTTAGCGACGATGGCGGTGGCGGCGGCGACGGCGGCGGAGGCGGCGGTGGTGGTGGTCGTCGCGGATCGTACGTGCCTCCGCCTCTTGCGGTTCCCTTCTTGCTCGCGAGTACGTTCTTTTATCCTCGTCCGACGGCGGCCCGCTCCTATCCGATCCTCCTCTTTTATCCCGTCCAGGTTGTTTCTTTCGCCACGGTCGGCCTCCCGGTCTCTCCTCGGGGCCTCGAGTGCCCTCTCGCGTGGTCTCCGCGCACGAGTAACCGAGAAGGGTGGTACGGCATTATGGGTTTGGTACGTGGCATTCAGCCACGGCAGCTGCCATTTTTTCTTACGAGGGGGGGCAATTGCTGACAGGGTTCGCTTTCCTCTCCCCGTAACCAACCGCGCCAACCGTCTACCCCTCTCTCTCTCTCTCTCTCGTGCACACGATATTTCTCTTGTCATCTTATCATTTCGAAAAACTTTCTGTTTCAGTTACACGACTCTCGATTAGAATTGCACATCCGGTCGTTCCTTTTTCCTCTCATTATACGATTACTATTCCAACAACGTATTTCAACTTCAACGAGACGGCTAACGAACCGACGAAATATAATTCGTTTCTATGAAACCCTCAAACAAGATGGTCACTAGTACGTCTTCGAGCCGTGAGTCTGGTAAACCTAACGTCAACCCTCGTATAACAAACGTCATTCTAACTCTGTACTCTTCGTTCAAGTACGACTATTCGCTCGAAAGGTGCATCAGAAGAGGTCATCGTGAGAATCTATTGCTTCTATCGTTCCTATCGAGTGGGTTCCAATCGGCCATCGATGTCCCACGGATATTGTTTAATTTAGCAATTTTTAGAACGCCCCGCCATAACGATTTTCATAATGATCGTCAGGCGGCGGGGGCCCCACCACTTATTACGTTTTTACTGCCGTTGTTATTGTTCCTTCAAAATTGTTATTTAACGTTCTTAATGGATATCGTACGCGGCCAATAGGATGCATCCACCTTCGTGCAACCGCGTCTACGTATCCGTTCGTCTCTGTTGCACTCCCGTGGCTCGCAATTTATCGTTTTATAGGTGGAGCTTTAAATGCGGCCGTCCGGTAACGCCGGCGAGTGGTTAGCCGGTCGCCGTGGCTCGTTGCTCGGTTGCTTCGTTACTTCTGCGTTAGGTTCGATGGGTGGCTGGGCCGGGGTCGACCGCCACGTTGGGGTGGAAACACGAGACACGGCGTTTCGATGCCCCCGCGAGTCGCCTACGAAGCCCGTCAGCATCCACAGTGTGCTTTCTTGTCGCCTGGAATTATTCCTAATAATCATTGCTGCAATAATTTATCTTACAAACTCGCGAGAACGTCGTCCTTACTACAAAGGGCTAGATTTGTCGAATCTCGAAAATCGAAAATATGAACCCTTCGACCTGTACACGAAGAGATTTTCAATATGGCGGAGGAGGCGTGAAAATTTCTGATATCCACAGGGCAACAAGTTGCAGCTATATACCACACGTCACCAGGAGGAACCACGAAATTTTTAAGCCGTGTGAGCTTTTTCTCGAGCGCTAGGAATATTTTCGCCCCGTTTTTCCAGCATCGCAGCCTGTCTTCCGCTGCTTATCGATTCGAGGCGAGCGTCTAGGCGAACCCCGTACGCGTCCAGCGGAACAGATTCAGAGCGGTTTAACGAACAGAGAGTGCCGCGGCCGGTTCGAAAATAAGAAGCTCCTCGAAACGGCCGTGGCCAGAGCCGCGCCGCGAGCTGGGAAGGGAGCAGATTGCTCCGGATATTATTATAATAAAGCAGGAAATTGCCTGCGCTCGCTAAATACGTAGGCAGCGATACCGTGCGCCGTGCGGGCCGATATCATCGCCGGATTATTGTAATTACACGGTTTTAACATGTACAAAAAAGGCCCGCGATATTATTACGAGTTAGAAATTTCACGCGATTCAATTCCGTTATTATACGCGAAAGATAAATATTATAATTCCGGGAGATAAGTCGCGCGGAAAGCGACTGGGTACTCGCGACGGACGAACCCTCCTCCCTCCCCCCCCCTTTCACCCTTCGTGCCTTTTGGGCCCATTTAATGCTCGGAAACGATACCACGATCTCTAATTATTAAATATATTCATCGAATCTGATAATAAACGACGGATGAAGTTGAATATTCGCGCGTTGCGATATCTGACATTCTTTTCAATGTTTATTTTCTTTAGTATCGATAGAATATTATGAACTTTATGAGAGAAAGTAGAATTTAAGTCTGGGTAAAAGGAAATTGTACTCGAAGGCGTGGAGGAATGATGGGGATGTTGAAAACATGGCCTGGAATCGTTATTAAAATTAATATCAAACGTGTAATGTATCAGTCGGTAGTCAATTGTGTTGGGAATGTTGATAAATTGATTGAATTTCAACCACGTTATGAACTTTATAAGAGAAATCAGAAGTTATACATAAGAGTGTAGGAAGAGCAATGGGGATGTTGAAAACCTAGCCTGGAATCGTTAATAAAATTAATATCAAACGTGTAATGCGTCGCTAGATAGTCAATTGTGTTGGGAATGTTGAGAAATCGATTAAATTTCAACCACGTTATGAACTGCATAAGAGATATCAGAAGTTATACATAAAGATGTAGGAAGAGGGATGAGGACGTTGAAAACCTAGCCTGGAATTGTTAATAAAATTAATATCAAACGTGTAATGCGTCGCTAGATAGTCAATTGTGTTGGGAATGTTGATAAATTGATTGAATTTCAACCACGTTATGAACTTTATAAGTGAAATCAGAAATTATACATAAGGGTGTAGGAAGAGCAATGGGGATGTTGAAAACCTAGCCTGGAATCGTTAATAAAATTAATATCAAACATGTAATGTATCAGTCAGTAGTCAATTGTATTGGGAATGTTGATAAATTGATTGAATTTCAACCACGTTATGAACTTTATAAGAGAAATCAGAAATTACACATAAGAGTGTAGGAAGAGCAATGGGGATGTTGAAAACCTAGCTTGGAATTGTTATTAAAATTAATATCACGCGTGCAATGCGTTGCTAGATAGTCAATTGTGTTGGGAATATTGATAAATCGATTGAATTTCGACCACGTTTCGTGAAATCTGTCCCCACCGTGTCGCAGTCCAAAATGTCCCGGAGAATTTCGTCGAACGATTCCCTCGTGTTATCGCGATCGGTGGTGCCGCTCTCCCACGCCAATCGACACCGTTTGCACTCACCTTTTAATTATACCGATGCTCCTGATTACCACAGGCGCCTCAAACGCGTTAATCGCGCTTAGAACACGCTTGCAACGAAACGTACCAACAATATCGCTCCAACTCCGCAGCGATCGATTATCGAGCCAGCTTATAACGCATACCTCGTCCTTTTATTCGATGTAAAACAAAATTAACCCTTCACAATGATATATACAATCCTGAATCAAGTTTTAATAGAGATCGTTCTCGAAGCTTCGGAGCTACGGTAGAGATTAATGAAACAGGCCACTTGAGGGACAGGAGACGAGGTTTTCTGTCGCGAGCAATTTTTATAGCTACTCGGAGCACGTTTGCAGACGCTGGAAGACGAATTCGGTGGAGGATGAGCGTCGGTATCAAAGGGAAAGCCGGTTGCAGCGTCGTTTCCGGTCGTTCGGGCCTTTCCGGGGGCCTCGGGGCGCGTTATGACCGACGTTACGATCAGGTGAATCCCGTTTGCAGACTCGCGGTCCGAGGGAAACCGCTTCAAAGAATCGCGTCAAAGCGGAGGCCGTCCGTGACGCGAGCCAAACGCGACTTTATGTATCTTTAGATTCGTTCGACGCCACCGGGATCTTTGCTGGGCGCGATATATTTAGTGACAGCGCCGCTCGCCGTCGATAATCTTTCCATTCGCCGACGATTCGGTTCCCAAGAATTATCCCCATCGCCTTTGAACTAAACACGACGATACAGCTTCGTTCCTA